CATCCCCACTACTCAAAACTTCTCATCGCGTGAGGATATTGTTTTGGTGTTTGACCACCCCTCAAAAAAGTGAAAGATCTCTTCCCCAAAATAAAATATTTAAAAAATGAAGTAAACAAGATGTGCTTGTGTGACTCAGGATGCAGCTGAGAAACAATCATAGACAGACAAAAATAAATCATTCATATACCTTTACAGTACAATCACCAACGGTGTAAGTAATCGCAGGGCCCCGATTTCGATCATTTTGGCGGGTCTACCTGGATGTACGCGAGGGAACCCTTGTGAGCAATGTATTTGGAAATAAATTTTTAAACAATATGATACTGAACCTATTTTCTTCCATCGCTTTAAAAGTACTTTCTCTCTATACATATATTTATAAACTTACTAACATGAGAGTCTGTTGGGAGCGCCGAGGCCCGATTGGGCCAGATCAGTTGGATCGGCCTAAGGCCAGCCTTAAATATATCGTTTGCAAAATCTACACTAACCAAAATGGTACGACAATGTATTGTTATGTATCGGCTCGTTTAAAGTAATACAAAGAAAGAGTGAAGACAACAAGCTTTGTAAATTTTTAAAAAATAATTTATTTCCCTAGAAAACACGGAAAAATGTAAATATGTGAAACAAGACTTACGATTTACGAAAAAGATCCAAATTGTTTGTTCTAAAGATATAAAACACACAAGTCCTGTGAACAGTTCTAAACTGACAGTGTGCAGTTCAGTTCCGGTACAAGATGGCGGATGATGACGTCATACGAAAGCTAACACAAAATTCCAGAATTTACACAGTGAAGCACAGTTTGTATTGTATTGTTCCGTTTTAATTTAGAAGATTTTCAGAAAATGGCTTTGTCCAAACCAATAGTGTTGTACTCCAGGAAAATAATTATTTAGAAAGACGAAGTACAATCAACTCCACTAACAAAACACATGTCGGTCTACGTAGACACACGAACAGACAACTTCTTCTAGCACAAAATACCTTTTTAAGGTAATAGAAGCTGTGTGACTCCGAGATGTTAAAATCGGCTACGACTCTTGTCTTTTACTCTGACTGTGACTGTGACTGTTCTTTCTTACAAATAACTAAAAATATAAACGAAGCTAATACGTTGTTTTATGTACACGCGCACGAAGAACACATCATTTCGCAATACATCTGGACATTAGGTAAGCCTGGCCAAGTATCAGCCAATCGTTTCCATGGTTATTCCAGAATGTTTACTTGCGACGAATTTACCATCATACACAACTCGTGCTTACACGAGTCACATTTACGATTTAAGTAAACACGATGTTTCTAACAACATATTATATCCATGCCAACATAATCATACTAATAATTACATTTAATGATATAAAAATAGAAATGAAAAGATTTATATATAATTCATTTTTTAACACGCACACAAAGATACAAACACATACACGCTTTAACTACAGGCTTGCAACAATATACATCTTGAGTGATTTGAAGTAATTCAATTGTTCACATCTGCCAGTCATGCACATCGCCACGTTTTTTTTTCCCTCAGGTTGGTTAGGTCCCAATGTCCATTCTAATAAAATGTTAAACGGACAGGTCATTCTTCATATCCAATATATCTTGACCTGTTTTTGTTTCTATCGACTTTAAAGACCATTCATGTTCCAAATTCCCTCTCGAAATGGGTATATTCTTCAATTCCAAGGCGGAAACTTGAATAACATCGAATATGTTTTATTTTAGACGATGAAATTACTGGAATAAAGTTAAGCATCCCCATCGTATATCCAGAAGAGTCAAGAGTCATGACAGATGTTGATGGCAGCTTTTTCATATGTCATTTAAACCCAAAGAGCCAGGATAAATAGCCTTCTTATCGCTCAAATCTGCCGTAACAGCAGCATTACACTCTTTGCCTAATTACTTCTGAAATGAAGATTGCAGTTCGTAAGACAAAAATCTTGTTTTTTAACATCGATATTCAGCAAACGACAGATAATGTTTACACAAATAACGGATCTGATGACATGCTTTTAGATGCAGATATGGAACATATCTGGGATTTTAATATATCAGCAAATAATTTGATACTACAGTTCATTACATCGTGCATCTATGAAGTAGTTGTGTGTTGATGTTAAACATGCATTAAAACGTACATCAACATTGATTTATTTTCTGTGTTATCTTTCAGGAAGCTTTGCATCTGTATTTTGTTTTAAATACGGAATTTCACTTTTTTATGTCGAATGAAATATTGAAATAAATTTATTTCCTTACCTATTTAAGAACATATCCCCACATACATACATACATACATACATACATACATACATACATACATACATACATACATACATACATACATACATACATACATACATACATACATACATACATACATACATACATACATACATACATACATACATACATACATACATACATACATACATACATACATACATACATACATACAGAGAGGATATATAATCTATTGGACTACATTGTATTTTATTCATGCCATGCCAATCACAACTCCAATATTCTACGCGCACGCCGTAATTCGAGAACAACAATGTATAACGTAGTTGACACTAGCATTGATCTCTCTGCCAATAAACATCAAACAAATGCCAGAGGTGACATTCATTAACCGATTGCATCTATAAGATGGATAATTTTGTTAGACATAGAGGATAAACAAATCCATTGAAACACCACATTTTCAGTTTACATAAAAGCCGAAATGGCTATCCGATAATAGATAAATTTGCATTATACCACTGTCGCTGGCTTGCTGGAAATGCTTGAAACAAACATTTTATTTTCTGTTTAGGTTTCAGAGTTGCTTGTTTTTCATAACAAGTAATATTCTTTACCGCTCAGCACTTCTTCCATAAATAAATATCAGACGGAAAATATTTATCTTCTCGGGGACTGCAAGAAGATGTAATAGCAGCTGGAAGATTGAGTTTGTGTAGCGATGCTTTGCAATAGTAGTAGTAACAGTTGTGATTGTGGTGGCAATTAGAATCGTGAACGCAGATCGCTTGCCACTCTCAAAAGATCTGTCATAGCAAAGTGTAAGAATCTATCGTGCACTAGCTAAAATCCTTCATATCCAATTTTTCGTTTTAGTTTGTTAACTTGTTACTTCAGAGGTGTTTTAACTACGAAATGTGCTTTTCAGATGGTGCCATAAGTACTTATTACTGGACAAAAATGCCCAGCAGATATGAAGAAATTGTCTTGCAAGAAAGGGTATTTTTTAAAACAAAATTATTTTTCGGTTTTTGAATAAGAAAACATGTATAAAGACTATAAGTAAAACGTTGCAACATTGTCACTTGACTACTATGAAAAGAACTTTATGACTAGTATGTCTTATATTCCATAAGCAATTATTACTCTAATGTGTAGCAGTATAAATCATTGTAATATAATATAATATAATATAATATAATATAATATAATATAATATAATATAATATAATATAATATAATATAATATAATATAATATAATATAATATAATATAATATAATATAATATAATATAATATAATATAATATAATATAATATAATATAATATAATATAATACAATACAATACAATACAATACAATACAATACAATATAATATAATATAATATAATATAATATAATATAATATAATATAATATAATATAATATAATATAATATAATATAATATAATATAATAAACTTAGAAAGCAAACAAAACAGAAATAACGCAACTCGGCACAACACTATCATTGTGCACTTTACATGCTAGTAAATTGATATAGGAAATGTGATACGGAAAAATCATCAGTCAATACAGAAGATAGAAATAATCGATACCAACGATAAACAGATGGCTCATTTAGAAATCAGCTTTACTGTGGTAGAATACAAGTGCATTCATAATACTTGCAAAATTTGACAGTTACACATTTAGTTGTAGATGTTTTATGACCATAAAATGATTATAACCAGTTTAAATGTTTTACAAATACACACAGTATGAAAGGGCAAATGGTGTATACATTGAAAACAAGATAGAAATAGTAATGGCCAAAATTTGAGAGTTGTTAGTCAACCAAACACTCAGGTGAACCGTGTACGGAGAGTAAATCTGGCACAGTTTATGATCCAGTTGACTTGAGCGAATGATCACTGACCTAACTATTCAACTATCAAGTATTCGTGACGTTTCAATTGAGATCTGGAAATGCCAAATAAAGAAACGGTAAAAAATATTACTTTGTTAGTAATGCTTGCAAGAACAACTTCCCTCTATATTTTTATTTTGAACATAGGGTTTTAGCTGTTTATCAAAATCATAGAGAAACAAATGAAACAATTTAAAACGTAAACCATTACAATTAAATGTTTAATTGCATAAATGTTTAGTACGCTTATATTTGTAATAAAACAGATGCATATTTCTAAATATCCACATACCATTTTGAAACTGACCGTGACAAGACTCGTTAATAATGCAATTTACACGTGTTCTGTTGTCTATCCATTAGCTTATGTATGAAACTTGTCTGGTCTGCTTGACCTTTACCTTGACAAGCCCAAGAGAACAATCGTCCAACTTCACCATATCTTTGACGTCGCATCATATAGCCACTATCGAGCTGATGTGCAGTTAAATATACCATACCATATTAAAGGATATTCTTTCATTAAAAGCGATATTTTTTAACGTAGTTTCTTTTTTTAGATCTGGTTTCGTGATTAATACATGCATGATTTAATTCCGTCAGTTTCTAATACATTCATTTTAACATACCTGTCACATTCGAGAAACTCATTATCTTTTTTTTTTTACATTTTTTTTACAAAGAAAACCTTTAAAGAATCCAGTCTTCTTCTAAGTGCTATATGTTTATTTCCATTCTTCCGTTGATGTTGACGGAATAATGTTTTCTGCTGCTTCCCAAATATCAAACTCGACATGATATCCCACGAGTGCATGCTTATTATGTAGCCTCTCTGGTGGCTTAAGTGGTTAGAGCGTCTGCCTCGGATGCGGAAGTTCGTGGGTTCGAACCGAGGCCAAGTGATACCAAAGACTTATAAAAATGGTATTAGCAGCTGCCAAGCTTGGCGCTCAGCATTAAGAAGTTAGTGTTAAGACTGGTCGACCTGGTGTCAGGATAATGTGACTTGGTGGGACATCATGCCACATGTCTGCGGCATGATGCCCCAGTGCTAGACATCACTAAAACTGTCAGACTGCCAAAAACGTAGCAATATAACTGGACTATTGTTAAAGCTACGTTAAAAATCCCAATCACACACAAACTCTATCTCTCTCTCTCTCTCTCTCTCTCTCTCTCTCTCTCTCTCTCTCTCTCTCTCTCTCTCTCTCTCTCTCTCTCTCTTAGTACGTAAAAGCTGTCCAACTTTGTATATGTGATGCGTCGAATTTTGAAAACTCTTAGAAGCTTTGTTTAAAGGAATTGTATGAAAGTCAATATAATTGAAGCGGAAAGGGCTAGAGATAGTTAGATGATTATTTTTCATTTCATCTCTGAACGTCAAAAGAGAATTCGTTCTAGACGAAGTAACATGATCAAGTCAGATGCTATGGTACAAGAGAATGACATAAGACCTTTCCCCAAAATCGACAGGTTTAAAGGCGGCATCTGGCTATAGATGATAGCTCAAAGTAAATGATTAATTACGGCATGAGTAGTTGTTTAGTTTTCTTGTCAATCCAAAAATTCTACGAACAGGTTTAGGAAATAGGCTATTCCGATTAGTTAATATGGATTTATGGGCGTAACTCTGTAAGAAATTAAAGGTTTTCACTTTAGGGAAATTCTTTAGTCTTCGATCTTTCGCAAGGAAAGTTAGTACGACTCCGAAATTCGTAAAAAGTACGTTTTTCGTATTGAGTAAGGGGCCGGATAGTTCTCTCAGGAGACGGCCTATACGTAAGGTTCGTGGAAACATAAAGAAACGGCAAAAAGGTACGCAATCTTAGTTTCCCGATTTTAATATGTTATTTCATTTGTTGATCTATTTTGCAAATGTATTCTTGATATATGTATGTATGATTTCATTTTGCAGGATTTTAGTGAAATGCTAGTCATGACATTTTATTCTTTGATTTCCTAATTATCAATTCATTTGGAGAATTGGCAAGAGTGAATGTACTTAAAATTTCATTAGATTATTTGAAAAGATTGCATGTAATTGAATCGTTAATACATAGGAGTGATTATGAATTTTCATGAATGATTTAAGAAATGATGGGTAATGTTTCATAGTTTATGGATTAACTCTGTTTAGAATGAGTATGACCTAACATTACATGTATACCATATACTAGTTTGTAATATTTAATTGATCACTTAAGTGTATATCTATATGCTAGTTTGTAATATTTAATTGATCACTTAAGTGTATATCTATATGATAGTTTGTAATATTTAATTGGTCGAGTAAACTGTTTTAAAATAGTTAGATCTGGAGGTCTAAGCCATATGTAACTTAACAGAGCAAGAAGTCGAGTGGGGGTTACATACAGGTTCATATGGCTGAGTTGAATTAAATTGACCATCCCTAACGTGACCCGAATTAAGGTCAGAACAAGCATCGACCGTTTATGTAAACATAACAGTTAGCTAACAGAAGTTACTGCGGCAGAATTTAGGCCGTTTGTTTCTGAGCCGAATTAACGTAAAATACAGATATACTTGGGAATGTGACCTATTGTCTATTGCGAGACATTTTTATTTATTGAAGGAAACAGCTTTCCTGGACACATATGAGGAATCCCTGAACAATCCTAGGACGAAAACACATTCTACGCAGAAATCTAGTCCAGAGACGTTTGTTAAGTCAGAGTTAGACGGACAAGAGTCCAAGACGAAAAGCTAGACAAAGATCGACAAGCAGAGACGAACGGAAGTCTTGATGTCTGCATAAATTAGGTGATGAAGTCTCTCATCGTTACACTCAAAGGTCACATCCCATTGGCAATGATGATAGCAATTTAACGTGAAAGTAATTTTATATTTAAAGAAATTTGTATTGTGTTTTATTTGAGTACATGTTAGTACCATTCTTTCCTTCTTTTTAGCTAAGTAATTGATTTCTTTTCATTTTAAATTCTGTTTATAATCTGATTAAATTTTATATTTGTTCATTGAAAGGGGGCTCGTAGTGTTTATTTCCTCAATATACTTGTTCAGTGATCTGCTTCCTTCTTTCTATTTTTCCACACTGGGTAAATCACACCGCGGAGGTCATTCCCTAGCAACGAACCGTAGTGAAAGAGGTTGGTGTGTTTTGCACGCCGCCAATCTGTCACAGTATACGTCACCCAGCTATTGTGCTGAGATACGTCTTGCTAGTAAAGCATACCCAGCACACCCCCTTCTTCACGTCTCCAACCCATTTTCTTTTCTTTTCTCAAATGCTTCGCTATTTTAGTCTTCAAAATTCCAGTGAGTCTTTCTACTTCAGTTTTATTTGTAGAAGAGGACGTTGAAAAGTATTCAGTGTTTTCCTTGCCGATCGGATCGTGATCCTTTTTAGAAAACTCTTCCCCACCCACCCCGAACTCCACAACAAACTATATCATGCGTATATTGACAATACATCTACCACTGTCACGATGCATTTACATCCTTCACTTGCCTTCACATGAATAATGTTTGCACGCCACTGGTCACTGACGTAAATCACATTGACCTATATGTATGGGGATTATTTCTTCCTCTGCTTGTATAACATGCTTTTAGATGGGTTAGTTAATAATTCTATCCGATCTGGATAATTCTATCCGATCTGGATATTCTGTTTGAAATATGTGTACTTTAATTTATTTCCATAATTGATTGATGTCGTATAACCGATTAAGGATCCCGGTTCGTAGTAATGGTGCTGTACTTTTAGTTGATTTACTTCACTAATCACACTTTTGGTCTGCGACACCTCGGAAGACATGAAGATAGTCAGATAGTATTTTGCATTTGAAACATTGCTTATTGTTTTTTTTTTTTTTTTTTACAAACCAAAACCCGATACGACTGGAGTCACCCTCTTCAATAGGAACTGTGTCTACTATGTCAGCCTGTTTATCACTTTACACAGTATACCGTTCTCCAGCAAACGATCATGTCAAGCTGTTCAACATTGTCCTTTATGTATAAGACAAGAAGCTCGTGGCACATGAGCTAGTGTTCAGGTTGTCTTGAACATCTTGACATGATCTTTTGCGGGAGAACTGTATACTGTGTCAAGTGATAAACAGGATGACATAGTAGACACAGTTCCTATTGAAGAGAGTGACTCCAGTCGTATCGGGTGTTACAACACACACATAGGCTTGGTACTTTAATTTAAACAACTTTACAACATTTTCCCCATCCATTTTCAAAATTATGATTTCATATTGATGTCAGTATTTACCATACCAATAGTTGATTCAAAACCAGCAATTTCATGCACCGAGTCACTACGTGCTGTTTGCAACACACACACACACACACACACACACACACACACACACACACACACACACACACACACACACAATTTCGTCCATTTATAAAAAACAACAAAGTATTGAATATTCGTCTTAAAGTAGATAAATTATTATGAACTCACGTGCAGCAGTATGTATAAATATTAGTAAAGTCCACAAATATATAAATAATATCCGATAAAACTAACTTTCCATTATCAATAACACTGTCGTTAAAACAAAACACCATTACACTGAAAACGAGCACGTAGGTTAGATATATTACTGCTTGTGTGTATGCTCATTAGTCCCTTAACAGTAAACATATTTATTCAGTCGTTCCTTTCATTTTTTAGGCATAAATGTGATTTTTTAATATGTCTTTATTACTCTTTTCATTCATTCCATTCGACTTGACCCGTTATGTCTTCCCATAATTATTTCGTCGACGTTTGCCAATAGAGACACTATTTCGGTTGCAGTTCTGTGCTTTAATAACCATCCGTATGCATCATGATTACTACAATCATAATATAACACTACAAATATTCGTATGGTTTTAGTTTAAACATATCCAGTTTCATAAGTCCGTAGCTGGCAATAACAATATGAATAATACAGAAGGTAATGGATTAGAAAAGAAGCCAATGGTTTGCAATGTTCGTCGGTTTGAATGATATAACAAGAGCAAATATATGTGAATATATCGGATATTATATTGCGTTTTGATCGCAATAAATTAAATCGAGTCTTTTATTAAAATTTTATCTGAGTGGATTTAGCATCTAATCCACATATCACCAACAATGTGTATGGAGTCTTCTGTCATTAGCGTATACGCACTGTCTGCATTTGGGGGTCCACTGAAAAAGCCAACCAGAATTTGTCTTTGGCTTAGTAAGAGTTAAATTCATAGGCCGTCCAAAATTTAGTTTAATGCCATATCGCAATTAGAAATGAAACAATTCGTTCACATAAATTATGAAACCATAGCAAGAATGGTCTTCACGATCATTCTTGACTGGATCGTAGTAAGAATGGAGGTAAAAGTTATCTGAAAAAAAATGGGTGGACTAAATAATACTTCATTGAGGGCCAACATTAAGAATTCAGCAATTCTGAATAAAATGTATCTAATTCGAGCAAATTACTTTGAATATCATAGTGCGTAATGGAGAAATGGCGTAGAAATTCATTCCCAACTTCGAGGTTAACAATACGGATCATAGCTAGAATATACTTTGAGTAATGAGGCTCTTTACAAAACAAGGATTGATCGAGATGTTACAAATGATTGAACTGTTCTTTTTTTGTTGTTGTTGTATTGTATTGTTCTATTTTGTTTTTCATTCGTAATATCTCGGTCCATCCAACAGACAAACCATTTGTAGAAATAGCGGATGTGTTTCGAATGGGCACTTTAAGAAATGATATAATGACGTTCTCGAGTTACATCCGGAAAGCCACCAGAGATACAAGTCAATAATCAATTTGTCAGTTTCGTTTGTAAGCTCTCTGACGATTTTGAATCTCTTGGCTTCATAGCTTCAGAGTTGAGGCAGGAGGAGATTTATTTTCATTCCTA